AGGCCATGACGTCATGCGGGACACAACAAACACAAACGCCGTTACGTCGCGCGGGGGGGGGGAGAGAGAGAGAGAGAGAGAGGCGCGGGGGGCCATGACGTCGCGCGGGGTGAAAGAGAGTGACGCCTCGCCGTGATGTCACGTGGGCGCGCGACGACGCCGTGACGTCGCCTCGAGGGGGCGGAAGCGGAAGCGCGGCGGCGGCAGCCGGGAAGCGGAGGGACCGGCGGCGGTTTCCTCAGACTCGCCCCTAACCCCTTCAGCGCGGACGCGAGGGCAGTCCCCCCCTTCGCCACCATCACGGAGGCCCGCCGCGGCTCAGGTCCCGGGAGCGGCAGCGGTGAGGACGGCAGGTGGGGTTGGGGGAGGGGGGGGCTCCTGGAGCGAGTTGGTGATTGACGGGACCCCTGCTCTTTCCTCCCTCCCCCCCCCGCCAGTCTAGGATCGTTTGAACCCGCAGGGTCTCCTTCACCGAGCTACCTGGAATGGGGGATGGGAGGGTTGCCTGGTCTGGGTGGTTGTGGGGTGGGGGGAGTTCTGGGAGGATTTCGGGGTTGGGGGAATATATACACACCCATATCACAAAAAAATCCGTTTGGCTAATTTGAGATGCCTTCTTGGTCACCCTTTGCCTCTGACTTTTGACTTATATAAAACAAGTAAAACAGGCAACATTAAACGGTACCAGTTGACATAAAATCTTACAACACGGGAAGGAAATACCAGGAACCAAATTGAAAAAGAAAGAAAAGAACCTTTGCTGTCACTGCAGAGTCATAAATGCCCATCCTTTATGTTATTGGAGGCAGTAAAAGTAACCTATAACTTCAGAGTCACTTCTCTGCTTTGGCCAACCCTTGGATTGGACCTCAGGGCAGCCAGAGAAAATGAGAGAGAGAGAAAAAATTACATGGTCAGAGAATGCTGGAAAAAGGAAATTTGAGTGTGGAAAAGACAAAAGATTTTTTTCTGACCTCTCAAAGGCTTCACTATAGAGTTGTACAGTTTGGATTTGAACAACTGCTTAGCTGGAACTTTTTATCCCCCTCCTCCCCTCCTTGTGTTTTTCCAGGCACAAAATTATTTTAGAAAATAGTGGTTAGCTTTTCATCTGGCCAGGTTTAAAGTGGAATCTTCCAAATGTGTTGTGCTGCAATATTCATAGTTCACAGTAAGGAAACCTTAATGTAAAAGCTTTATTATAAGATGATGTGTAAAGATGTAATTAGCACTAGTTAGTCATCAAATATTGGATTTAATGGGTTTTAATTTTGCAAGGATACTTGGTTAAATGGAATAAAAAGTGTATATAGATTGTACAAAACTGGAGGAAATAGCAGATCCTGTCAAGACCAAAACAAAATTCAAAATGGAGAGATGTAGGTTTACAGAACAAATTTTAATGATCGCAAATGCTAAAGTGGTTAAATAAAACTTAATAAAATGTGGACATTTAGAATGAGGAATTCTGGGTGAGAAAAGGATCTTGGAATTGTAGCTGAGTGTGAGTCCATATGATGGGATGCTGAAGATCAGTAGGATTATCTTCTAAAATGTAAATGCATTTTTGTGCTGTGATACAGATTAAGGTGTATTTTCCAAATCATAGGAAAGGAATAGTTTTCTTCTGCACTGGTCAGATTCTACACAGAGTATTATGTCCAATTCTGAGCATCATAACACTAGAGGTTTTTAAGAAGAGATTGGACAACCCTTTGTCTGAAGGGGTGTAGGGTTTCCTGCCTGAGCAAGGGGTTGGACTAGAAGATCTCCAAGGTCCCATCCAACTCTGTTATTCTATTCTATTTCTACTCTATTCTACTCTATCTCGGGAAGCTGAGTTAAATACATGCCAGTTGCCAAGTGCCTGGATTTAGATCATGTGACCCTGGAGATGCTTCACTGGTTGTAGGTGTGAAGATTCAGCCATGTCACTTTTTTTTTCGCCCAGTGCTGTTGTAAATTCAAAACTGGGGCTAAATGAATAGTTGTAAATCAGGGATTTTTGGAAGAGCAGTTTGATAGTAGAGCCCATTATGAGCCACGGTGGTGCAATGGTTAAGAGTGCAGTACTGCAGGCTACTTCTGCTGACTGCTGGCTGCCTGCAATTTGACAGTTCGAATCTTACCAGGCTCAAGGTTGACTCAGCCTTCCGTCCTTCCGAGGTCAGTAAATGAGGATCCATTGTTGGGGGCAAGAGGCTGACTGTAAACTGCTTAGAGAAGACTGAAGTGGCATATAAATCTAAGTGCTATTGCCCCCTTCCTGCCTTTCCCTGTTTCCTTCCTTCCTATTAGCAATGCATGCAGTCCTTGACATACGACCATTTGTTTAGTGACTGTTAATAACAGCACTGAAAAAAGTGACAAACATTTTTCATATTTATGATTGTCTCCATGGTCACATGATCAAAATTTGGATCCTTGGGAACTGACTCATATTTATGACGGTTGCAGTGTCCCAGGGTCATGTGATCACCCCTTTTGCGAACTCCTTGACAAGCAAAGTCAGCAGGGAAGCCGAATTCATTTAACAACCATGTTACTAGCTAAACAATTGTAATGATTCACTTACTGACTGCAGCAAGAAAGGTCATAAATGGGGCAGAATTTACTTAACAGCTGCCCTGCTTAGCAGCGTAATTATGGTCATAAGTGGAGGAGGACTACCTGTACTACAGTTTGGATTCTTTCCCCGAGCATGGATTGAATTCAATAACGTATATGGTTTCTTTTCATTCTTTTAATTTTTGAGCTGTTTGAGGAAATCAATTCTGGAATAAGGGAACTTTGCTCCTTCTAATAAGTCTTGCAAGCTTCGAACTTTGAATTATTTCTGATCTGAATTGTTTCCTAATTAAAAATCTAATATCCTCCAGCCATTGTGCATACTAGGCAGCAAAGTTTAAAAAGAGCCTGGCAGTTTGAATTGTGGTGTCTATACCCACAGTATTTTTTTTTCTTAGAAAGTATCCTGCAAAGTGGCTTATTCCTAGCTGGAGCCCAAAAGATAAACAGTAGTGGTGGAAGCAGCATGTAGAGAAAGAAATTGTCAGCGCAGATAGACAAAAATGTGTTATTCTTGTTCAGGTATATGGCTAAATTGCAGTTGCATATTCATTCCATTTCCTTTGGCCTTAAAGAGGCACTTTTTAAAGGTAGTTTTGGTTCAGGAATTAGATAAGATACCTGGGAATGCTAATTAAGAGTCATTCAGGAAAGTGTTGCTTTTTATCAGTTAGGGGTATATGTGAGCATCCCCTTTTCTCCCCAATTAACTGAAATCTGCATAGTGATGAGAGACACTCCAATTGGCACAGATTGCTTTGCTGAAAAGGTTGGAAGGGACCTTATAGGTCATCTAGTCCAACCCCCTGCCCAAGCAGGAGACCCGACACCATTTCTGACAGATGGCAGTCCAGTCTCTTCTTGAAAGCCCCCAGGGATGAAACTCCCACAACTTCTGAAAGCAACTTCTGATCCATGGGTTGATTGTTCTCCCTGTTAGGAAGTTTCTCCTTAATTCCAGGTTGCTTCTTTCCTTGATTAGCGCATAGAAATGCATAGAATAACAGAGTTGGAAAGGACCTTGTAGGTCATCTAGTCCAACCCCCTGCCCAAGCAGACCCTACACCATTTCTGACAAATGGCAGACCAGTCTCCCCTTGAAAGCCTCCAATAATGAAGCTCCCACAACTTCTGAAGGCAACTTCTGTTCCATGGGCTGATTGTTCTCACTGTCAGAAAATTCCTCCTTATTTCCAGATTGAATTGTTCCTTGATCAGTTGCCATCCATTATTCATCGTCTGGCCTTCAGGTGCTTTAGAATATAGCTTGACCACCTCTTCCTCTCTGTGGCAGCCCCTCAAGTATAGGAAGACTGCTATCGTGTTTCCCCTGGTCCTTCTCTTCACTAGACTAGCGATGCCAGTTCCTGCAACCTGTTTTTCATACATTTTAGTCTCCAGTCCCCTAATCATCCTGGTTGCGCTTCTCTGCACTTTTTCTAGAGTCTCTACATCTTTTTTATAGTGTGGTGACCAAAACTGGATGCAGTATTCTAGGTGTGGTCTTACTAAGGCTTTATAGAGTGGTATTAGTACCTCCCTTGATTTTGATCGTATCCCTCCGTTAATACAATTTAGGATTGCATTGGCTTTTTTGGTTGTCACTGCACACTGCCACCACCACANTTCATGTTAACTTGAGCATTTTAACTCAAATATTCATACATATCACCATCATCATATATCCATTTTCATTTGACTATAATTATTATTTAAAAATAATAATAATAATAATAATAATTTTTGTTTCTTAAACAATACATGCCCACACCAGTGGGAAAAGAAAAAATCAAAAGAGAAACCAAAAAAAAAAAAAGGAACCACTCCATGGATTTCTTAATAGACAAACTCAACATATGTAGAAGTTCCATTTTCCCTATTACAGAAAGAGAGAACAGTAGGTCACCTTCCCTTGCTTTCGGGCAGCTTCCCTAATTTTATTATTTTAAAAAGGTTTTAAAATCTGTCAGCCTGATTGACACGAATCCCTTCGACATTCTTCAGAAAGCAGTCCTTCCCTTCTGTACACCCAGAGAGCAAAATCAGAAGCCGTGTTCTGTGGGGCTGTGATGGCAGAAGCTCATTCCTTCACTTTTGGGGTCAAATGGGGGGTGGGGTTGTGATTAGCTATGCTGTTAAGGTAATGATTGAATAGCTGACCAGCTGCTTTAAGGCTGTAAACCAAGATAATGCAATGAGTCAGCAGGGTTACTGCCACTTTAAGAAGCTGTCTATATGAGAGGCCCTGTGAGGGCGGTTTCTCTCTCCGTGTGTGTGCTTCCGTATTATAGTTGAAGATTGATTGCCTGATTTTGCCTAGTACATGTATGTGTGTATATATGTCTGTGTGTATGTATGTATGTATGTATGTATGTATATGTATGTATGTATATGTATATGTATATGCATATGTAAACCTCTGGATACTGTACTTTGCTCCTGGGTTGTCTCAAAATAGCAGTCATGCTTTGCACATTCTGACACATGCTTATCCTGGCAGCCACTTTGTGAGAGCATCATAACAGGTTCTGAAAATTTCAAAGCCCCCCTCTGCCAATCCTCCCTTTCCCCCCCTATCACCAAAGGATTGTCTGCCTCCCACGATTCTCCAAGTTCTCGCTCACCTTCCCAAACCCAGACGCTTTTGTCTCGGCTGCAGGTAGCCAGGAGGCTGCCAGACGGGGCCCAGGCTACGGACTTCACCTCATTCTCATGGCCCTCCAGAGTCGCTGCACACTGGGTGGAGAGAGAGAGGAGACATTTATTTACGGGAAGGGCAACTAACAATCTGAGACCCCAAGGAGAAATGTTCCATGGCAGGGCAGTGGGGGAGATGACCAGGAGGAGCTTGAGGGTGGAGTCAAACGCACAATCAGTTTGGAATCACCACGCTCCCACAAATGGCCTAACTCCAGCCCCTTGTGAATTCCACTTATTCATATCTGGCACCAATTTGCCTTGACTGTTAATATCCACAACTGAGCTCAAAATTTTGGATGCTAAGTGAGTTTTGCCCCATTTTAATGGCTTTCTTGGCCCAATTGTTAAGAGGATCACTCCAGGGGTTAAATGATATGAATCTGGCTTCCCCGTGGTGTGTCAGGTCACAAAAGGCTTAGAAAAATTGTCTTTAAGTATGTTTAAAGCGACGATATTTTTTTTCTCCATTGAGATTCTCACTGCTCCATCTTTTTAACTGTCTTCCAATTTTGCACCCCTGTAAGTTACACAAGATTTCAATCACTCAGGTCTGAATTGTGCACTATAAATCGTGCCCAGTAAATATTTGTTATTGTGAGTTGTAACATTTTCAAATAGTCATATTATGTGTACTTTCCCCTTTTTATCTTCACAATTCTCTTGCTGCACTTGGTTCTCGTTTTGAGAATATTGGAACCAAATGGCTCTACAAGAGCAGCACATAAGGAAGGCTTCAAGATGCCTTAATCCTCCCCCCCCCCGGTTAATTATCAAATCTTGCAATTTCAACATATTATCTTTCCATGGAGCGAATCTGAATTGGAACCCACAAAGGATGCTGTACCTCGAAATCGGCCTGGTTCTTCTTCCAGATGCAGGTGGTTGCATCAAAGCTGGCTGAAGCCAAGTAGTTCCCACAGGGGGACCAGGCCACTTTGCGGATGGTCCTTTGGTGCCCTTCACCCAGAATGGACTTGCACACCCAGCCATCACCTGACAAGAGAGAAAGCTCCTGGCAATGTGGTTGGCAATATCCCTGCCTGAGCTTGGAACCCCAAGATCTAAGCATATTAATCAAGTATCTATGGTAGCTTTCCTTTTTCTTAGCACTGAGGACTTGGGTCTCTGCTGACTGCAAAATTAGCTGTGGCTGCATTGATGGAGGTTCTGCTGTGGCCCGCAAGTGGTAGCAGACTCAGATAGTGAGGAGGTTGTGGAGGAAGATGGGCCAGTCTTGGAGTCTGGAGAGGGCTCTGATGAGGGCTCTGTGTCGGAGGCAGAGAGGGGGCCAGGGCCATGTGCCAGTTATCAGCTGCCTTCAGAGTCAGACATCAGTGAGGCAGATGAACAGCTGAAGCCTGTTCCCAATGTGCGCATGCACAGAGTTGCTGGAAGAAGGAAACAGCTAAGGGACAGGGGACAACTTGGGAGTAAAGCCACAGGTGGACGATGAATGACCTCTCCCAGAGGAAATAAAAGAGGAGAAAAAGGGGAGGGGAGTTTGCAGGAGACAATTAGTTCAATTCATTAGGGTGAACATCTATTCCTGACTTCTTGCCAAGGAATTGCTACAGCGTGGCGTTTGGAAGATATCGGCCTGGCAGTTCTCCAAGCCTGATAAAGGCCTGTGGTTGGGAAATCTCATGAAAGACTGTTGGCCGGGACTTTGCTGGAGAGGAATTCCCTTAAATAAATAAATAAAAGTGGCTTTATTGGGATGGGGAGTCGGCTTCATGGTCTTGGGAAGCCTAGGTCAGAACAGGTTCAGGGCATTAGGGCTGTTCGAGATAAGATTTGGAAATACCCATTAAACCAACTAAAAGTCCTCAGTTTGGGAGGCAGAGAGCATGGTAAGCTACAAGGAAATGGGAGGGAAACAGTGGCCTGTACATATCTATGGAGTTCTCCAGGTCCCAAAGGTGCTTTTTTTCAAGAGGCAATTGGATTTTCGGGTTTTTCTTTGAAGATATTTCGCTTCTCATCCAAGAAGTTTTTCCATTCTTGAAAATGTAAACCCCAAGCTGACCACCTGAGCCTACCTTCTTTTCCCCAGATGCGGATGCTACGGTCTCCACCACAGGAAGCCAGTAGTGTCCCTTTGGGATTCCAGGCCAGGAACCAACAACAGGAATCCGGGTGTGCCTGGATGCGGGACAGGAGAGTCAAGGAGTCCTTCATCGGAACACCAAGTGGTCACCACAGACGGAAGCTAAAACTCTGCAAATAGAAATGAGTTTTATTTCAGCAGGAAGGTTTCATTTAAGGGCATGAGATGAAAATTGGAGCGCTTGGCCATTGGCCTGTGATTTTCAGCCCTGGAATAGATTACTACAATTGCACCGTACATGGGACTGTCCTTAAAATGCCAGTTGGAAGTTGCCATTGCTTCAAAACTACATCACAGTTAGTCCTTGACTTACAGCTGTTCATTTAGTGAACCATTCGAAGATACAACAGCAGTGGGGGAAAAGTGACCATTTTTCACCCTTATACAATTGCAGCAGCCGCCCTCCCCCCATAGGTTACATGATCAGAATTGGGATGCTTAGCAACTGGCTTGGTTTTTCAAAGGTCGCAGCGTTCCCCTTTTGTGACCTTCTGTTAAGCCAAGGCAATGGGGAAGCCGGATTCACTTAACAACCAGGTTACTAACTTAGCTTATCTTTATTTTTTTGTATTTTTGTTTCTTTTATTATATAAAATGCAAAGGAAACAAAAGATAGGTAATTAACAGAAGGAAAAGGAGCAGCAAAGTGTAAGTGTGTGTGTGTTTGTGTGTGTGTGTGNTGTGACCGGATATGAAGATGCCGACGACACTTGTCAGAACCACCTTAAATTACCTCACACACAGCACTGGCCTGAATAAGAATAGGATGTAAACTTGTTTCTTAAAAGGCATCTGGTTTGCGTTAAAACAACTTCAACACACGCAATGTTCTAATTGCACCACAAACGCAGTAATCATCCTTGCCTTTCACAGAGGCACTGAGTTTTATAAATATGAGCATGATAGTGCAGAATAATCATATCCAAGGACCAGTGTTGGGTTTCAAAAAAAATTGGAACCTCTTCTGTAGGTGTGGCCTGCTTTCCGGGTCCACCGGTTCGGTAGATTTGACGAACCGGTTCTACCGAATAGGTGCGAACTGGTAGGAACCCAGCTCTGCAGGAGCCGTAGTTTGAGGACCCCTGATTTAGTGCAATATAAAAAATGCAAATAGTTTTTTCTGCAGACCACGAGTGGTCCATGGACCATCTGTTGATGACCTCTGGTCTACAGCTTTTAAACACAGAATTCCCACAACATCACAATCTATCCTGTCACTAGAGTCATTCTCGAGTTATGAATCCTTTTTTCTGTGAAACTCACACGGTGGCCATGCCAGAAGAAATTCTGGAAGACTTGCAAAAGAAATAAGTTAAAAAGTTGTTTTTATTAAAAAAAAAAATTGAGTGAATCATGGAAATAGCTCTACGGGAGTTCCCAGTGGCTGTGGCATGTTAACTTTTGGAAGAGGAGAATGGAATAGTATGTTCTGAAAAGAGTCATGGTAGGCTGGCTGGCAGGAGCCTTCAATGGACTAGATCCTCAATGAAGAATATGCTTCCTGAGCATGCATCTCAAAATGGATCACGCCAACGTCTTCTACTTTATTGCGTGAGAAATAGTCATTGAAGAGTCTTCGAAGTTGGCTTTTCGCTGAAGTGGTCATAGACATTTAAAGTGGCCATTTAAACCGAAGGAACAGTTATACTTTTAACCCAACCTGAAAGATAATATCTTCTCAAATACGTTGAGCTCAAGTTTTCAATGCTCCTGGTGGAGACCATTCATACACCTGCAAACCCACATTCAAGGCAATGCTCTTGCGATCAATGGTACAATTTTCAACGGGAAAAAACTTTTTCCTTCAAAGGCAAACATTCCATTTGAAAAACAACACATTTAAATCCTAAAAAACTGGCCTGTGTGTATCCGAATTTACAACCTAAATGTTGGAGATGTGATTGTGTTGATGCTACATATTACCATATATGGTGGACTTGTAAAAAGGTTAAAGCATTTTGGATAAAAATATGGTGGATTATGCAAAATGTTCTTTAAAAAAGGAAGTATAACTACTGATTGTACTGTTATAGAGACTAACTTGATTTTGCATTTAATAACGGTGGCGCAATACTGGAAGAAGGAAGATTTGCCTACTATTCAAGAACGGACATTAAAAGTAACAAACCTA